ACTCATCCATCCACCGTCCCCACCCATCCCACCCCACCCATCCACTCATCCATCCACCCACCCATCCATTCACCCACCCATCCATCCATCCATCCATCATCTCATCCACCACCCATCCACTCTTCCACCCATCCACTTATCCCTCCACCCATCCACCCATCCCACCCATCCACTCATCCATCCACCCACTCATCCCATCCATCCATCCATCTTACACCCACCCACCCATGCTTTCATCCATCCATCATCTCATCCACCCATCCATCCACTCATCCATCCATCCACCAATACACTCAACCTTTCATCCATCCATCCACTCATCCATCCTCCTCATCCATCTACCCATTTGTCCACCCCCATTCATCCCTCTATTTACTCATTCATCCATCTACTCAACCATTCATCCTTCCACCTATTCACTCATCCAGACATCTATCTACCCATCCATCCATTCATCCGTCCATCTATCCTCTCATCCATCCATTCATCCATCCATCCATCCACTTATCCATTCATCCATCCATTCATCCATCCATCCGCTCATCCATCCACTCATTCATCCATCCATCTACTCATCCATTCACTCACTCATCCATCCATCCACCTATTCATTTATCCACCCCCATTTATCCATCCTCCCATCCATCCTTTCACTCATCCATCCACTCATCCATCCATGTCTCCATGCACCAAACCATCCATCCATGTCTCCATGCACAAATCCATCCATCCATCCATCCATCCAATGAAATGAAAGATATGATTTGACATTTTCATTATAGATACATTTTGTTCCTATTTAGACTTTTACCTGCCAAAAATTCCAGCCTAATAGAAGAGTCTCCGCCGTGGCTCATGAGCGCCCCCCATGTATCAGGACCTGCACCCCATGTGGCCAAACCATCACTGACACCCCATGGCCATCTGATGTCTGCGGGGTGGATGTCTCCAGCATGAATCTTCACTATAAAACATACTTTTCTTTCTCCGTCTTTTTTGTTCTTTTCACCTTTTGCAGTAGATTTTGATCTCTCCGACGTATCAGAAGCCGACTATTTATATCAAATAGAATTTTGTGACGTTCAAAAAACACTGTGAAATAATTGTTCTTTTTTCATTTGCAGTCTGAGCCGACACATTACTTCTCCTTAGTCTGCTGAAAACTCCGCATCGAATTTCAGAGCGGCGGTGATCTCTCATCCGACAAAACGCGATGCGTCAGTCACTGTCTGCAAAGCTCCCATTAGTATTCTCCGGAGGTGACGTCCATCGGGGTGGATGGGATCCGGCGGTCACGAGAGAGTAACTCCGACTGAACGGATACAATGTCATATCGGGATCCAGACGTCGTCACCTTTTCACGGCCATAGGGAGGAAACGATCACATGACTCGAAAACGGAAAGACTTTTAGTATTTTCTTTTCCTTTTTTTTTTTTTTAATCTTGAAATTGAGCATTTTATGTCACGCAGATTTCCCGTCTCACTGAGAGGCACATTTTGTGACATACAATCCCTAGAAGAGTTACGAGTAATAAAACAATAAATGTATGTGGCCAAACAACCAACTGCTGGCCCCCGAAAACATCCAAAATCTACCCCCCCCCCCTCCCCCACACACAGAAGGTGGGACAATAAAGAGGTTTGTGACCATTAATGACCCACATGGAAGAAAAATACAAATATACTTGAAACATACTTAAAAAATATTATTCCCCAATTTATTGACATATATGAAATGAAATGCTACAATTGTGGCCGTATTCAGTATATTTCAAAATATAATTCAATAAATAAATAAATATATATATATATACTGCATGTTGAAATGTCCTTTTATTACAAAATATATGAAATATATTTTTTAAAAAACATTTTCAAATATACTGCATATCTTTAAAAATACAAATCTACATTTTTGGAACGCAGTTACAAATATATGTTAAAATGACTTTTTTATATTTTAAAAAAAATCTGAGGAATATATTTTTAAAAAAATGTATTTTTAAAAAATATTTTTGATATATTTTTGTAGTATATAAAAAACGCATTTCAACATGCAGTATATATATATATTGAATATGGCCAAAATTGTAGTATTTCAAATATATTTTTCTTCCACGTGGGTAGATATGAGTAATACAGGTATACTACTCTCCTCTCCGGGGGGGGGGTGCAGTTCTGGCACCTCCAGCGCTGAATGTAAGTAAAGACAAGGGACGCTCAAGTGTCTATTGATGCTGGCTGCTGGGGATCTATTGTTGTTGCCACGGATCTATTGTTGCTGCTGGGGATCTATTGTTGTTGTCACGATCTATTGTTGCTGCTGGGATCTATTGTTGTTGCTGAGGATCTATTGTTGTTGCTGAGGATCTATTGTTGCTGGTAGGGATTTATTGTTGTAGGGGGTTTTATTGTTGATGGGGCAGTCTTATGTTGCTTGGGTGGGGGGTTAGTCAGTTTGTTACTGGGAGGGATTACTGTTGAGGGAGGAGTCTATTGTTTGCTGACTGCGGGGGGGGGTATTGATGCTGGCTGCTGGGGATCTATTGTTGCTGCTAGGGATTTACTGTTGAGGGAGGAGTCTATTTTTGGACTGTGGGGGGGAGGATTACTGCTGAGAGGATCTAGTGCTGTCGGGGGGTCTATTGTTGCTGGGGGTCTGTTGGGGGCTTTTTTTGGAGGATCTAGTGCTGCTGGGGGGGTCTATTGTTGCTCTAGGGCAGGGGTCTCCAAACAATGGCCCTCCAGGTGTTGAGGAACTGCAAGTCCCATGAGGCCGTGCATAACACTGACAGCCACAGGCAAGACTCCCAGAGGCAGAGGCATGATGGGACTTCAACAGCTGGAGGGACATAGTTTGGAGATCCCTGCGGGGCCTATTAATGCTAGGGGGTGCTGTTGTTGCTGGGGGGCTACAATTGCTGAGATGATCTAGTGCTGCTGGGGGATCTATTGTTGCTGTAGAGGGTCTATTAATGCTATGGGGCTCTGTTGTTGCTAGGGGGGCTATATTTGCTGAGAGAATCTAGTGCTGCTGGAGGATCTATTGTTGCCCTAGGGGGTCAATAATGCTAGGGTGGTTCTGCTGTTGCTGGGGGGGGGGGCTATAATTGCTGAGAGGATTTAGTGCTGCTGGTGGATCTATTGTTGCTCTAGGGAGTCTATTAGTGCTATGGGGTTCTGTTGTTGCTTGGGGGGGGCTATAATTGCTGAGAGGATTTAGAGCTGCTGGTGGTGGATCTATTGTTGCTCTAGGGGGTCTATTAATGCTAGGGGGGTGTATTGTTGCTGGGGGTACTGTTACTGCTGCAGGGGATCCGTTTTACTGCCTCTCGTTATTAATAACAAATTCCATACAATTTACTTTGCAGCACAAAATGATACTTGGTTCTGTATTCTCTAAAAGAGGCGGTACTACTGGGATGTAGATAGGGGGCGGAGACAAGGGACATTGCTTGGAGGTAGATAGGGGGCGGAGCTAATGGGTGAATGGAGGGGAAGGGGGGGGGGGGGGGGGTACCTGCTATCTCCTAGGACTGTGTAGATGAATTGGTATAATAATCTTTTTCTTCCATCTCCTCAAACAACAAAGCCATTGATTGTCTGCCAACGAGCTAAATGTATCCCTATAAATATAAAATATACACAAAGTGTGGGTCGTGTAAGCGCGGAGATGTGCGCGGAGATGTGCGCGGGGATGAGCGCGGGGATGTGCGCGGGGTTGTGCGAGGAGATGTGCGAGGAGATGTGCGAGGAGATGTGCGCGGAGATAAGCGCGGAGATGAGCGCGGAGATGAGCGCGGGGATGTGCGCGGAGATGTGCGCGGAGATGCGCGCGGGGAAGAGCGCGGGGATGTGCACGGAGATGAGCGCGGGGATGTGCGCGGGGGATGAACGCGGGGATGTGCACGGAGATGAGCGCGGGGATGTGCGCGGGGATGAATGCGGGGATGTGCGCGGAGATGTGCGCGGAGATGTGCGCGGGAGATGAGCGCGGAGATGTGCGAGGAGATGTGCGAGGAGATGTGCGAGGAGATGTGTGCGGAGATGTGCGAGGAGATGAGCGCGGAGATGTGCGCGGAGATGAGCGCGGGGATGTGCGCGGAGATGAGCGCGATGAGCGCGGGGATGTGCGCGGGGATGTGCGCGGGGATGTGCGCGGAGATGAGCGCGGAGATGAGCGCGGAGATGAGCGCGGAGATGTGCGCGGGGATGTGCGCGGAGATGAGCGCGGAGATGTGTGCGGAGATGTGCGAGGAGATGTGCGAGGAGATGAGCGCGGAGATGAGTGCGGAGATGAGCGCGGAGATGTGCGCGGAGATGAGCGCGGGGATGTGCGCTGGGATGTGCGCGGAGATGAGAGCGGAGATGAGCGCGGAGATGAGCGCGGAGATGAGCGCGGGGATGTGCGCGGGGATGTGCGCGGAGATGAGCGCGGAGATGAGCGGATTCTGTACATCAGGTAGAAGATCAGCAGAGATTCCGATGAGTGTAAAAGCTGAAATGATGGCGGCACCTGTAATGGCGGAGCGGAGAGGTCACATTGTTCTTCCCCCGTGGCAAAGAGTAATTATGTATTCAGCAGAGACGGGAACATGGAGGCGCCGGAGCCGCACGCTGCTTTCTGTTGCTCACATCTGCATGACACCAGATTTCAGTTGAGCCGAGAACTGACACGCGAGGAAACCTTGAAGTAGAACTGCGGTATGAAATCCCATCTCTGAAGAAGGAAGAGCGGAGTGGAGGAGAGATCCTCTAAAGCAGAAATATCCAAGCTGCAGTTTATTTTATCTCAGCACGCCTCCGCTCCACCGAGATAAAAGTCCGGAGCGCTCAGGCAGCGGTCGGTCACAATTATAACCTGGACCTTCGGATGGAGGATGGGATGTGAAAGAAGCTCATAGAAAATAACAACTTTTATTTATTGAGACGTTACCAACAATCAGCGCAACAATTACACCCCAAGAAGGGTTCTTGTCAGAACTAGATTATATACATACCATATACATGATAATGCCTCAAGTATTGCCCCGCCCTCCCAATCATGTGATTCAGGTGTTCCAATCCCCTCTAACTCATGTGATTCAGGTGTTCCAATCCCCTCCATATCATGTGATTCAGGTGTTCCAATCCCCTCCAACTCATGTGATTCAGGTGTTCCAATCCCCTCCCAATCATGTGATTCAGGTGTTCCAATCCTCTCCACATCATGTGATTCAGGTGTTCCAATCCCCTCCAAATCATGTGATTCAGGTGTTCCAATCCCCCTCCACATCATGTGATTCAGGTGTTCCAATCCCCTCCCAATCATGAGATTCAGGTGTTCCAATCCCCTCCCAATCATGAGATTCAGGTGTTCCAATCCCCTCCATATCATGTGATTCAGGTGTTCCAATCCCCTCCAAATCATGTGATTCAGGTGTTCCAATCCCCTCCAAATCATTGGATTCAGGTGTTCCAATCCCCTCCAAATCATGGATTCAGGTGTTCCAATTGTTCCAATCCCCTCCATATCATGTGATTCAGGTGTTCCAATCCCCTCCAAATCATTGGATTCAGGTGTTCCAATTGTTCCAATCCCCTCCATATCATGTGATTCAGGTGTTCCAATTCCCTCCATATCATGTGATTCAGGTGTTCCAATCCATTCCCAACCATGTGATTCAGGTGTTCCAATCCCCTCCCAATCATGTGATTCAGGTGTTCCAATCCCCTCCATATCATGTGATTCAGGTGTTCCAATCCATTCCCAACCATGTGATTCAGGTGTTCCAATCCCCTCCCAATCATGTGATTCAGGTGTTCCAATCCCCTCCATATCATGTGATTCAGGTGTTCCAATCCCCTCCATATCATGTGATTCAGGTGTTCCAATCCCCTCCATGGACACAGGTGTATACAATCAAGCCCCTAGGCATGCAGACTGCTTCTACAAACATTGGTGAAAGAATGGGTCGCTCTCAGGAGCTCAGTGACTCCAAGCGTGGTCCCGTGATAGGTGGCCACCTGTGCAATAAGTCCATCCGTGACATTTCCTGGCTACTAAATATTCCACGCTCAACTGTTAGTGGAATTATAACAAAGTGGAAGCCACTGGGAACAACAGCCACTCGGCCACCAAGTGGTAGGCTACGTCACATGACAGGGCGGGGTCAGCGCATGCTGAAGCGCACAGTGCGCAGAAGTCGCCAACTGTCTGCAGAGTCAATAGCTAAAGACCTCCAAACTTGGTGTGGCCTTCAGATGAGCCCAACAACAGTGCGTAGAGAGCTTCATGGAATGGGTTTCCATGGCCGAGCAGCTGCATCCAAGCCTTCCATCACCAAGTGCAATGCAAAGCGTCAGATGCTGAGGTGTAAAGCACGCTGCCACTGGACTCTAGAGCAGTGGAGATGTGTTCTCTGGAGCAACCAATCACGCTTCTCTGTCTGGCAATCCGATGGGCATGTCTGGGTTTGGTGGTTGCCAGGAGAACGGTACTTGCCTGACTGCATTGTGCCAAGTGTAAAGTTTGGTGGAGGGGGGATTATGGTGTGGGGTTGTTTTTCAGGGGTTGGGCTTGGCCCCCTAGTTCCAGTGAAGAGAACCCTTAAGGCAACATTTTGGACAATTTCATGCTCCCAACTTTGTGGGAGGAGTTTGGGAATGGCCCCTTCCTGTTCCAACATGACTGCGCACCAGTGCACAAAGCAAGGTCCATAAAGACATGGAGGAGCCAGTTTGGGGTGGAGGAACTTGACTGTCCTGCACAGAGTCCTGACCTCAACCCCATAGAACACCTTTGGGATGAATTAGAGCGGAGACTGTGAGCCAGGCCCCCTCCCCCGACATCAGTGCCTGACCTGACAAATGTGCTTCTGGAAGAATGGTCCAACCTTCCCATAGACACCCTCCTAAACCTTGTGGACGGCCTTCCCAGAAGAGTTGAAGCTGTTATAGCTGCAAAGGGCGGGGCCAACTCCATATTGAAACCAAAGGACTTAGACTGGGGGACCATTAAAGGTCATGTGTGTGGAAAGGGCGGGGCCAACTCAATATTGAACCCTACGGACTAAGACTGGGAGGCCATTAAAGGTCATGTGCGTGGAAAGGGCGGGGCCAACTCAATATTGAACCCTACGGACTAAGACTGGGGGGCCATTAAAGGTCATGTTTGTGGAAAGGCCGGCAGCCCAATACTTGGGGCAATATGGTGTGTATAAAATATATAGGTAAATATTACAGGACAATGAGAATATAGAGCTGCTAGGGTTAGCCGCCCTCCTTTACTGGGCTCGGGCCCCATAATTTCATTGGGGGGGGCAGAGAAGAGACTTTTTAACCACTTGCTTTCCAGGCCAATTTTTTTATTCTTCACACACGTTAAAATCAGCATTTTTTTGCTAGAATGTTACTTAGAACCCCTGCGCCTTATATATTTTCTGAAAGCCGAGGCCCTGTAGAATATTACCAGATATTTGCGCAGCCGTTTATCAATCGCACATTTTGGGGAAAAAAAATACATGAAGTCGATTTTAGTGCACATGGACATCATTTAAAGTTGAATTCCAGGAATTCAGCCACTTTGTACAAAGTGGGGGCACCCTGTGGGATACGTCCAAGAAGCTGCATGACACCTCCTGGTCTTATCTCTATAATTTACACCTTACAGCCAGGGGTGGACCGACAACTCATGGGGCCCCCGGGCAATAGGGTATCATGGGGCCCCTGTGTCCTTGCCCAAACTCAAAAAAGCCTATGAAAAAGGTACCAGGGGCATCTCATGGGGCCCCCTACTGACCCCGGGCCCTCAGGCAGTGCCCGAGTTTCCAAATGGTCAGTCCGCCCCTGCTTACAGCAGTCTGACCAATGGAGTGCAGCCAGGTGGTGCAGGGGAGTGTGTGAGCAGAAATCTGACCAATGGAGTGCAGTGAGACTTGTGCTGACATCCCCCCCCCCCCCCACACAGCTCTTCACTGAGAAGATCATTGTACTGCTGTACCTCTGCCTCCTGCTGGCATGCCCCTCCAGCCCAGCTATCTAAGCCCATTATGTGATCACTTATTAAAAAAAAAGAAAGTATTAATATTTTTTTTTACATAGACACAAATGTTTTGCCTTTCGTTTATATTTTAAATGGAACGAGTGATTTAGAAGGCGAGGGTTCACATAGACTTTAATGGAATCAAATATATAGAAAAGAAATTCACAAAAAGACGCAATCTATGAATGGCCGAACACGTAGGGAGATATTTAATTTCCACCTGATGGGATTTTTAGGCCTTTATGAAGCAGCCGCTATGTTCCAGTCCATACAACGGCTTTATACATGAGACGGGAAGAGCGTCCTACAGAAGAAATCAGGTGGGGAATTCCAATTTCACATCTTGGGTGCCGGCCCGTGACAGAATGACACATTCATAGCCCACAGAAGAGTTCAAATGAAGACGCGCTGGAAATAGCAAATAGATTCTCACTAAAACATCCCGCTATCATTTGTATCTCCTGCTGCGTGCTCAAGTGATACATATTATTATTATACAGTATTTATATGATAGTTGGCTCAGCGCTGTACATTACAAAGGGGGACAGAACATGTGACAGAACAATACCAATACAATGCGATACATGAGGGGATCGAGGGCCCTGATCCTTGGAGCTTACAATCTATGAGGGAGGGGATGGTGGTACAGGAGGAGATAGCTGTGGGGGATGGAGTGGTAGGAAGAGTGGAGGAGGTCGGCAAGTTAGCAGGGGGTGGGGTAGGCTTCCCTGAAGAGATGGGTTTTCAGGGTGCGCCTAAAGGAGAGGAGAGTAGGTGATAATCTGATGGGTTGGGGCAGGGAGTTCCAGAGGATGGGTGACACCCTGGAGAAGTCCTGGAGGCGGGCATGGGAGGAGGAGACCAGGGAACTAGAGAGAAGGAGGTCTTGTGAGGAGCGGAGTGTGCGTGTTGGGCGGTACTTGGATATTAGGTCAGTGATGTAGTTCGGGGCAGTATGGTGGACGGCTTTGTACGTCAGCGTTAGGATTTTGAATTTGATCCGTTGCGCAATCGGAAGCCAGTGGAGGGATTGGCAGAGGGGGGTGGAGGACACTGAGTGGAGGCCAGTGGAGGGATCAGCAGAGGGGGTGGAGGACACTGAGTGGAGGCCAGTGGAGGGATTGGCAGAGGGGGGTGGAGGACACTGAGTGGAGGCCAGTGGAGGGATTGGCAGAGGGGGGTGGAGGACACTGAGTGGAGGCCAGTGGAGGGATTGGCAGAGGGGGGTGGAGGACACTGAGTGGAGGCCAGTGGAGGGATTGGCAGAGGGGGGTGGAGGACACTGAGTGGAGGCCAGTGGAGGGATTGGCAGAGGGGGGTGGCGGAAACGGAGCGGTTGGAAAGGTGAATGAGTCTGGCTAGCCGTATTCAGGATGGATTGAAGCGGGGATAGCCAGCGGCGAGGCAGGCCAGTGAGGAGGGAGTTGCAGTAGTCGAGTCGTGATATGATGAGGGAGTGGATGAGCTGTTTAGTGGTTTCTGGGGTTAGGAATGTGCGGATTTTGGCGATGTTGTGGAGGTGGAGTCTGCATGTTGCGGAGGTGGAGTCTGCATGTTGCGGAGGTGGAGTCTGCATGTTGCGGAGGTGGAGTCTGCATGAGTTTGTTAAAGATTGGACTTGGGGCTGGAAGGATAGGTTGGAGTCCAGAATGACACCAAGTACTCTGGCCTGCGGGGCGGGTTTGATGGTGGCGTTGTTGGATGTGATGGAGAAGTCAATGGGGGGTGGGGTCCGGCTGGGGGGAAGACAAGAAATTCGGTTTTGGAGAGGTTCAGTTTAAGGAAGTGGAGCGACATCCAGTCTGATATGTCGCTCAGTAGGTGTGTGATTCGGGCGGAGACCGAGGGGGTGAGGTGGGGGGTGAGAGATAGATTTGTGTGTCGTCAGCATAGAGGTGGTAGTTGAAGCCGTGAGAGTGTATGAGTTGGCCAAGGGAGGAGGTGTAGATGGAGAAGAGAAGGGGCCCGAGGACGGAGCCTTGAGGGACCCCAACAGAGAGGGTGAGTGAGGGGGAGGTGGGTAGCATTATAGGTAACGCTGAAGGAGTGTTGTGACAGGTAGGATGAGAGCCAGGAGAGAGCAGAATCTCTGAGGCCGAGGGAGTGTAGTTTTTTGAGGAGGAGGGGGTGGTAATTGTTCTATGATGGGGCTCCCTGCACCCGACTTTGTGTCTGTATTCATCAGGCAGCCAATCATCGAGAATGTATGTAGCAGTAGGATCCGATTCTAGTATAGAATTGCTTGCAATATCTTCAATCAATCCATTAAATGTTCAGCATTATTTTCTAAATCCATGATATACCTTCAAAAGATTGCTACCACTAGCCCTTCTGAGTCCATCATCCCCCCAACTTCCATTCAGACACTGCAAATACTCTGGCATGCTGATCTAAACTGGCACATGGGTGAACCAAAACCCAGCAAGAAAGATGTATGACAGCCGGCTCCCAGAGGAGGTAAGTGGGCTACTTAGAAGAAGTCATCCCTGCACATGTAACTCTACAGAATAAAAAGTATTGAAGAAATGGGAACGGCACACTGGTCTATACAGTCCATAGAACTCTTTATTCTGCAACCAAATCCAACATGTTTTGGGGGGCTCAACACTCCCTCTTCATCAGGGCTAAAACCAAAACAATAAGGAGAATAGAAAATTCCCTTGAGTGTGTAAAAAAAATTGTATATATATATATACACCCCATGAGCTAAAAAAAAACCTCAGAAGTATAAAATGCACTTCATTTACAAACCACTATTCTTGCACAGATCTCAATAGAAACAGCTTTCCAATTTCTATACAGTATAGTATGAAGCAATAATCTGCATGAATGTTGATAAGGACGAGGTTTAAGTCTGGGGTAAGGTCTGGGGTGTGATATTAAAAGATTACAGAAT